TCGCATCAAATGAGGATGACTTCAAGAGAAGATGTCTTCGACATCATTCCCTAGCTTTCGGAAAGTTGTCACAAACAACTGAAGGTAATTGCATGGAAGATGATCATAATGCGGATGAGAATTATTTCAAGAGAAATAATTTCCAATGATATTCCCTTGGACATGGAATATTATCACAGCGGAGAAGGTAGTTTAAGGCGAAGCAATCTTCTAATTGAAAGCAGTTACAAGGCGTAGCGATTTTCAGGCGGGATGGCATTCTCTAGCTTGCAGGAGGTCGTCAAAAAAACAGCAACAACAACAACAACAATCGGTTACTTTCAGAGACGTGTGCTCGACGGTGCAAGATACGCGTTTCTTAACTCTTCTATCTGTTTAACTAATGCTTGTTTTGCAGGTATCGGCGTTATAAGATTGATTTAGGATCGCAGAACGTTCTGAATCATTCTCTGTCCCTATCGATACTTTGGCTTTCGTTTTCGAAACTTGCGTTTCTCCAAACTCAGTCAAAGTAGGGGCTTCTGTAGACACCCATTTGTGTCTCCCCAAAACCAAACCCAGTGATGAGTGTCTTTCACGTTGAATCATAATCGAATGAAACGAAAGTGTGGAAAGGTCTAGTGTTGCGGAATGTTTTATTTCTTTTCTTTTCTTTTCTCCCTGTTTTTGAAAACTTTATTTTAAGAAAACAGCCAATCCAGTTTGGTTGGTCCATGATATGGGTCTAATAGTGGTGTAGTTGGATGGGGTTTGCAAAGACCTTTCCAACGATATATTATAAGCCTTATTCCGATGAATATTGAGGAATTTATGGCCAATTTACTAAACTGGGCCCGGTTTGAGCTTTAAGTACGGCCCAATGATCTAGGGTAGGGCCTAATATGATTTATCATTCCTAATCTAATTAGGAATGGTTTTGGTCTTCTAGAACATTCTAGAAGGTTTTATCATTCTTAATTCAATTAGGATTCTTCAGAGTTTTAATTAGATCAAATAGCATTTTCGACTGAAATTATATTATTTTATCATCCAGTACGGGAAATTTATCAAATTTTCGAAAACGCGTTGAAATTTAATTTGGCGTCAAACCCCAGGCCTTGGCGCCTGGAATCAAGATTGGCGCTAGACGCCAGCCATTGGCGTCTGGCGCTAGCCACTGGTCCTGGCGCCAATAAGCCAGGGCTGGCGCCAAGGTGATTTTGTGGTCTTCAGACTCTGTTTTGATAAATTATCTTTTTTGGATGATTTTCTCTATAAATATCGTATCACAAACTCCGGTTTCATTCATCAACAATTACTTTATGATTCACCAATTCTCTTTATTCTTAAGTTTTCATCAACTCTCTTCATTCATTAACTCTCTTCATTCATCTACATCATTCATTCATCAATTTTCAATAACATTAATCTTTTAGCATTCTTTTTTAAAACTTTACTTTTTCATACAAAATTTCGCATTCGCAAGATCTTGATACGTCTAGCCATATTCGAAGTTGCCTTCGCCCTAGACGTGAAAGGTTTTAATTTCTGAGGGTTTGGTCCCAAATCTCTATTTCAATTATTTAATTTAATTGCTTTGTTTGATTATTATCTTTCCTTGAAGTTACTAACGTGTGTATTTTGTTATTAGAAAGAGGTACGAGGCATCCAAGTAAGTACTTTAATGGTTTAATTGATATTATGATGTAGATATCATGTTTGTATTGTTATTATGATATTCCTAGTATCATGTCTAGGGTATTTTTAATATTAAATATGATTCCTGTGATGCTTCCTATACTCTTCCTAATATTTATGATTATTATGATTATGATTAATATTATTGTTATTAATGATGTTGATTATTTATTATGTTGCTTGATATGTATTATATTATATATTGTTATTGCTTGATCACCTTTTATTGCATGTTTAAAGGGAATTGGTACTTGCAATCACGCTTGATAAGATAATTTAATAATCTTGTTAGGGTTAACTGTGATTATAATTCAAGTGATCGCCAATAATAGTTTATTTGTGCATTAAATTCAACCAACATAGATAAACAGGTTTAGGGTTAATCCTATTGATTGTATGTTAGCCAGAAAGCGCACATAAATACGATCAGAATAAAGTAGAGGCCTATTATTAGGGCAGGTTCAATCTCTTTTAGGTTGAATTTGTACCATCATCCCCAAACCCTTATTTGGTTCATGACCTTATGGAGTTAACGATCTCTTGGATTGTTAAGGGGTGTAACCTTCATCCTATGAACGGTTTACAAGTTCCTTAAAAACTTGTTGGCGACTCTTTTGCTCTATCTTCTTCCCTTTTGGACGCCACCGTACTTTAGTGTATGATCACAGTGGGGTTCAATCTAGTGGGATTTTAAAGGCTTGAAATTATTCCCTACACCACGGCGATGCCAAACCAACCCTAATCTAATTAGCACTTCAAGACCAGAAAATTAAGTCATAAAAAACACCTTGAAAAATATTATGATTTTAAAAATAAATGAGTGTGGCTCCGATACCGCTGTTGGGGTTTGGTAAGTCCAACTTACCGCGGAAACAACCCCAACCCAAAGAACCACTCGCAATAATAAAACCATAAATCATAAATAAATTAATCACAAGATTAGGACAAGATAATTACCTTTGGAGCGAGCTATGCCCAAACGAAACGGGCTCTTACTTCGAACGAAAGCCTCGAAAATATGACGGCCTCCTACGATAGTCCACCCACAACCTGACCACCGAAAATGGTCCAATGCCTTAGAGTTAGCAAGGCCGACCAAAAACCCGAGTGATTAATGAGTTTCATGGTTTTCATAATGGTGATGGCTTTTTCAACTCTCACTCAAGTGATTTTCCCAATACCCCAACTTGGGTATTTATAGGGAAAATAAGAGAGTGAAAAATGTCTCCCATCAATGTGGGACAATTTGATTTTTCCATTTTATTTTAAAGCTAAAATAAAATTAATATTCAAACTAGTAATAAATCAACAAGTGGCAAGCTCATGTGAGAGGTTAGGTGAGGACCATTTGGAGGAGAGGGGGACCAAACTTACTCCCCACTCCCTCTCCAAAAACCGGCTAACACACTCTTTCAACCTCCTATCAATTCGCGCCACGTGGCACCCACACTTGGGCACCAAGACACCAAACGTGGGCTGCCTTGTCGCGGCTGCCCTGTAGGCCCAGCACAAGCGTGCAAGCTGCTAGCTCTGCTAGCCAACAAGCCCAGCAGCTTGTGCGAGCTGCTCGTGCTCTCACCCAGCGAGCCACGCATCAAAGATGCGGGCTGCTGCTGAGAGCTGCTGCTCGCCTTGCGCCTTGGCCCAGCATTGCTACGGTTTGGCGTGGCTAGCCTTGCGATGCTAGCATTGGTGCACTAGCACGCACCAGCCAGCCTAGGCTCGGCTTGGTGCGCATGTTAGCCACCATGCTGTGTCATGTGCCCCTAGCACTCGGTTTGCTCGGGGCGTCCTGATGCTAGGGGTATTTTGGTCTTTGTTGATTTATTATTATTTTCATGTCTCGTCTTTTACTATTTTTCAACTCGACTTCCGACGTTCGGTTTCGACGCTCTAAGCTCGAATTCCCGACGTCTAAACATTAATTACTCGGTTGAATTATTAATTAATTCATAATTAATTAGTCGCTTCGGTTCGTTAGTTGCTTGGGTGTGACCCGAAGGGTTCAGTCAAGATTAAGTTGTTATATTAATTATGCATTAATATTACTGATCGAAAGCGGCCTCCACCCAGGCATTCCGATCACTTGAACTTACTGAATATATTGGCTTTTTAATAATTCTGAACCCACTAACGGAATAGTACACTTGTTCGAAGGACACCATTCCTTTTAGAACGTCACACCAGCTACCTCAGACGATGAGAAAGTTGAGGAGGAGGCGGACGGAGCTAAGGGCGAAGAGGAGAACAAGGAAGAGCCCGTTGATGATACATCCGTCCTCTTCTCCGAGGATCCCGTCCAAGGCCAAGATCCGGCTAAATAGAGCCCAGGTCCTCCTCCGGCCGTCCCCTGATTTTAACTTTTCAATTATCTGATTTTGTTGAACAATTTTTCTTTTTATTTAGTGCCACCTTTTTGAGCGATTTTGTAAGATATTTTTCCGCATTTTGAGCGGTTTTGATTAATGCAAGTTTTGCCGCCTTCTGAGCGGTTTTCCATTGCATCTATTTCGTAATTAGTAAATTTTGCGCATTTTTACATTTTTACGCTTTTGTACGATGGGGGCGCTTTCGTACGATGGGGGGGGGGGAGGGGTACGCCCCTTTATTCGGCGTTCTCCTAGTCCATATTCTAAATTGTTTGATTGACTTGGAAGTTTTTATACCTCCAAGGGTTTGACTACTACCAAGTTAATCAAATCATATTAATGATTGCCGTTAGTCTAGGTGAAGCGCCGAATCAATTACTATTGCGGCCGTATTACAGGACTCATATGAGCCATCCGTTGAATTTATCGCTCGGACATACTTAAGAAATTTCAAGTAATATCTCAACTCTAAAATTTTTTAAGTTTGGCAGGGCTATTTTGCCTAGGTATGCCCTTGCCCCCAATTAAGGAGGTAAATATCCTTGACTGATTTAGGGTACCTTGTGTCTTGTCTCCGTTCGTCCCAATGGGAGACGAACGTTTGTCTGTACTTATCTTGAATAATTTCGTCTGGCTTTAATAAGCCGTGTTGTTATATTGCAAGCAACATTGTTATGGTTTTTACTCGTCCATTTGTTCATTTAACTGAGACATACACATGCAAAAATAATAACTCAATAAGTTAACAATGCCCGACTTACATTAATTTTGTCAAGTTTATATTGTTGGGCAGTAGGACTTTAATAACAAGGCTCGATCATCAAGACCTAGATGTATATATAGATTTTTGGCTAAGTACAAAGACTTCTAAACATAGTATTTTTTGATATTGTCCGTGTCCCATGTACGCGGAATTGGACGGCCGTTCAAGGCTTCGAGACGGTAAGTACCATCTCAGACTTCTTCACTGATTCGATATGGCCCTTCCCAGTTTGGGGTCAACTTGCCATCTTCATTTGCTCGGCCTACAACCTCTATCTTTCTCAGCACCAGATCTCCCATTTTTAGCGGACACTTTAACACTCGGCGATTATATGCCCTTGTCATCCTCAAGCGATAAATTTTGTGCCTAAGCGCCGCATTTCCCATGGCCTCTGTAAGAAAGTTCAGGGCGGTCTTCATGGCCTCCCAATTGGCCGTTTCATCATATAACATCACCCTGAGAGTAGGCTCGTACATCTCAATTGGGAGAACTGCCTCAGCACCACAGACCAAGAAGAATGGGTTTTCTCCTGTGGAACTCTTTGTTGTTGTTCGTATGGACCATAATACATTGACCAGCTCGTCAACCCATAGGCCTCTTGCTTTTTCAAGCTTGCGCTTGATACCATTGGAGATCAACTTGTTATAGGCTTCTACCTGGCCGTTGGCTTGTGGTCGGTCGACTGAGGCAAAGCAATGAGCTATGCTCTGGTCTCCCAACCATTACTTGAGCTGAGGCGTTTCGAACTGGGGTCCATTGTCAAACGACATTGACTGAGGTACACCAAAGCGAGTAATTATGATTTTCCATAATGACCCCTTTCAAGGGTAATACACTTCAGGTATGACTTCACAAAAGCATTCTTAAACAACTCCCCTTGCTTCATTTCAAACCAGGCCGCCCTCTTTTTCATCAGCCAGCTCTCCTTGGGATCGGCCCGGAGCAATCCATCCCTTAAATAGGAAATGGTTCCGTCCATCCAAGTAGAGCTTCTATTAATGATTTGTACTGGCTCGATATCAATACTCCTCTTTTCTTGTAATTCCCAAAACACTGATCTAGGAGTATCACATGATGCCGAGGATGCTAATTTGGAGACGGCGTCCGCCTGATGATTAGACGAACGAGGAACTTGTTGCAGAGAAAAATGCTCTAGGCCCTTGGCCTCCTCTTTGAATATCTTCAAGTATTTCATCATGGCCGGCTCCCTTGCCTCAAAGTCACCATTCACATGGCCGACTACCAGCAGGAAGTCCGAGCTCACATCCACTTTTGTTGCTCTTGCCGCCTTACACATTCTAAGGCCGACCAGGAGGGCTTCATACTCGGCCTCGCTGTTAGAGGCTTGAAACTGAAATCTCAACGCATACTCAAATTTATCTCCCTCAGGAGATTGAAAAATAATTCCAGCGCTGCATCCGATCGCTGTTGCACTACCATCTACAGACACCTTCCAGATCTGGTCTCCGGCCGGCTATAAATCTGGCCGTGTCATCTCAGCCAAGAAATCAGCAAAGGCCTGCCCCTTTATGGCTTTTCTTGGCTTGAAAGTGATGTCGAAGCCTCTCTGTTCTGAAGCCCACTTAAGCATGCGTCCACTTGCTTCTAAAGTTGCAAATGGCTTCTTGAGTGGTTGATCAGTATACACCACTATTGAATGCGCCAGGAAATACGGCCGCAGCTTTTAAGATGCCATGTACAGCGCTAGCCCAAAATTTTCAACAGGGGGTACCTAAGCTCGGCATTGTGCAGCACATGGCTGATAAAGTAGACCGGATCTGGTGGCCGTCCCGTTTAACAAGCAGAACGACACTTAAGGAATGCTTTGAGATAGCGAGATAGATGTACAACTTCTCATCCTTGAGCGGACTGACGAGCCGAGGCAATGTATGTAGATGACTTTTTAACTGTACGAATGCTTCCTTTGCCTCCTCCGTCCACTAAAAAATAGCTTTCTTTTTTATGGTCTGAATAAAGTATCGGCATTTGTCCCCTGATTTTGACAGAAACTGACCGAGTGCTGCCAAATAGCCGGTCAGTCTTTGCACTTCTTTAATTGTTCTTGGAGACTTCATGTCCAAGACATCTTGAATTTTTCCAAGGTTAGCCTCAATTCCACGTTGATCAATTAAAAATCCGAGGAATTTACCTGACTCAACACCAAAGACATATTTCTTCGGGTTTAATATCATCTTATGCCGCCTGAGTTTGGTAAATGTTTCTCGTAGATCCTTCATATGGTCGGCCGGCTCTTTTTACTTGACAATCATGTCATCAATGTATGCCTCCATATTCCGGCCGAGATGATCTCTAAAGACTGTGTTGACAAGTCGCTGAAATGTTTCAAGGGCACTCTTGAGACCGAACGACATAACCTTGTAGCAATACAGCCCATTCTCATTCACAAATGCGGTCTTTTCTTGATTTACAAATAGAGGAATTTGATGGAAACCGGAGTATGCGTCCATAAAGCTCATTAGGGCATGCCCGACCGTAGAATCAACCAAACGGTCAATTTTAAGAAAGGGAAAGCTATCCTTAGGACATGCCTTGTTTAAATCCGTATAATCCATGCACATTCTCCAATTTCCATATGGCTTCTTTACGAGTACTACGTTAGATACCCAATCAGGGTAATAGCATTGCCGAATGAAACCAGCGTCTAACAGCTTTCCCACCTCAGTTGCGGTCGCCTGATTCCTCTCTTCTCCATGATTTCTTTTCTTAATGCGGACAAGTTTAACAGCTGGGCTCATAGCCAACTTATGCATGGCCAGGTTAGGGCTTATACTTGGCATTTCACTAACTTCAAACGCAAAAACATCCTTGAATTCTCTCAATAGCTGAACTAACTCATCTCCAAGCAGACCCATAGCTTTAGTGCCGACACTGACCGTCCGACCTGGTTGATCGGGGTCAAGCACTATATCTTGTTGGTTACCGGCCGACTGGGATCTTAGCTCTTCAGGCTGGCCGACAACCATTAGTTGTTATGCTTGGTCGGCCATTACCTACTTTCGCGTTTGGCCGACCTGGTATGCTTGGAGTGGGGGATCTTCCCTTTTAACTCAGATGGTTTTCCATGTCCGCGAATCGTAGGCTTAATAGCTAGCTGGTTGCACTCTTTTGCCATTTTCTGACTTTCTTGAATTGAACCAATCTTTCCGTTCGAACGTTCAAACTTTAACAACATTAAAGAGGGACGATCACAGCCTTAGCAGCATTTAGGGTAGGACAGCCGTGTATGAAATTGTAGCCAGTTAACTCTTTCACCACCAGGAATCGAACGACCATGTCCCTCCCTTCTCCATTTAGCCCGAATCGGACTGGCAGATTTATCTGTCCGACTGGGTGAATGATGTTTCACCCAAATCCTACCAAAGGGTGAGTGATGTCCTTCAGAGCATCTTCTGGGAACTTCACAATTCTTCAGGGCGGCCAGGCTGATGATATTGGATGAGCTGTTTGTATCTATTAGTATTCGGCCCACCTTTAAATTGTCTATCTTCATAATAAACATCGTAGGGTCATTGTGCAGGGTTTGACCTCCCCCCGGTCAGCTTAAGACACAGTTACTTCAGGGAAGGGCTCAGCCTTTACAGCGTCCGCCTGCATCACTTTTCCCTAGTTCCAGGCGTTCTGCTTTATTACCTTCATGGTGAGGCTTCCTGAGGCGAATCCCCCCGATATCATGGCCACAAAGCCCGAATCGGTATTGTTCCCATCTTGTTTATCATTTTTCTTCTTTTTCTCGGATATGTTGTATGTCCGTGTATATGTAAACTTGGACTTCGTCACTTATGAGTTCAGCATGCCCTTCTCGGCTAGCTTGTCCAACAATCTCTTCAAATTGATGCAATTGATTGTGTCGTGCCCCACGTGCTTGTGGTAGTGACAATACTTGTTTGTGTTCATATACTGAGCCGAGCCTCTTAGCGACTAGGGCTTTTCAAATTTGAACTTATCTTTGATTTTCATCAGGATAGAGTAACAATCCTTGTTGAACTTATACTGGGGCTCGTACGTGTAAGCGTCGTTCGCCTACGTTAAATCATGTTGTGAATATGATTGGCACTCATAGAAAATGAAAATTGACATAACACGATTAGGGACAAGGAAAGTAGGGAGCCGCCAACAAGTTTTTAAGGAACTTGTAAACTGTTCACGGATCATAAAAGGAAACCACGATTAAGGGACAACGAAGGCAATAACGATTGAACCGTGATGGTTACACCCCATTCATAATCCATGAGATTACTAACTCCATATGGTTCGGAAACACGAAAGGAGGATCAGGGATGATGGTATGAAGTGAGTCATGGAGTCACATTCGCCCGTATTGGCCTCTACTCGATTCTTATAGTGAAAAGTGATTCCTGCGATCTCAAAGGCATACAAACAGAGATTCAATTCGCTCCAAACTATTATTAAGCTAAATTGGTTTAATATTAATGCAACACATAATTCTAAAATATTGTGATCACTTGAATTAATAACAAGATTAAAAAGGAACCTAACCCAGTTGTCCAAATGATCTTATTAGGCGTGATTTTCAATTACATATTCCCTTTAACATGCAATATGGTGATCATAAATATAATAGAATAACATCAATATTGGAAGCAATTTAACAATAATTCCAACCATATAAAATCGTTAGAAAAAAATAGAAATAAAAGGAACATAATTCTTACTTTGATTATGTTTGCTTGCAATTACAAAATAATAAACGAGTTAGTAACTTCAAGGAAATAATAATAAAAAATAATTAAATTAAATTAAATTAAATTAAATAGAATTGATTTGGGGCCAAACCCTCAAACAATTCTACCTTTCACGCCTTGGCTTAAGGACAGAACCACGAGTAAAGTATGGACTCCTTGGAGTGTTTGAAGAAAGAATTTTGAAAGAAGAAGGGTAGGCTAGTGTTTATGCTAGAGCATAGAAGAGATAAAATTATAGAATTAATTGATGCCCCGTACATCAGAAATGAGGGGGTATTTATAGAAAAAATGTGCCGAGGGAACACATGGAACCCTAAAATGATAAAAACCCTAAGCAAGTTACCGCGACACGGAAAAGTGTACTGTGACACGGGAAATCCCACCGTCAGACGGGAAACATTCCCGTGACACGGTGTACTTTTGTGTGACGCGGGAAATATTTAGTGAACGGGGGGAGAAAACGCGTTAAGGGTTTACGCGGAAAGGACACGAAAACCCCCGTGTCACAGCAGGTGTCCCGTGTCACGGGGAACCCCACCGTCAGACAGGAAAGTTTTCGTGACACGGTGGACTGTTGCCGTGACGCGGGAGTTTTCAGTCTGCTTTTCCGTCTAAATTCATTTTTAACTCTAATTTCGTTCAGCATTTTAAGTGCCGATTGATAAGTTGGGATAAAATAAAAAAATAAAAAAAATAAGTAAAATAAAATAAATAAAAAGTTTGGCCAAAATAAATAATAAAACAATAAAATAAAAATTAGGCTTGGGCTAAAATTAAAAACTATGCTTTAACTAAACATCAAGGCTGATCCATGGACTATTCAAAAATTGAATTTAATTAAATACGATGTTTTTAAGCACTCTCGGGATTAAATAATGAACCCGACCGATAGTGGCGGTGAAAGGTTGTTCATCATCGGGTTTGGTTTGGGGAGACATTTTTAGGTGTCTACAGAAGCCCCTACTTTGATTGAGTTTGTAGAAACATCAATTTCGAAAACGATAGTCAAAGTAGCCGGTAGGGACAGGGAATGATTTAATACGTTCTGCAATCCTAAATCACTCTGTATACGCCGACACCTGTAGAAAAATGTTAATTCCACAGATAAAAGAGTAAAATGATAGAATACGTATCTTGCACCAGTGTATCGGTGACAAATGATTTTGGCAGCTTCCTATGCTTGAAGGAATCCAGCGGATGACGTTTGTTGAACGCTTTCCATGCTTGAGGAAAGCTGACTGAGGAATTTGGTAGCTTTCGAAGCCTGAAGAAACCTACCGGATGAAACTTTCCATGCTTTAGGAAAGTCGACATATGAATTTGGCGATTTTCTATGCTAGAAGGAACCCACCGATAATACTTTCCATGCTTGAGGAAAGTCGACAGATGATTTTGGCGTCATTCTATGCTTGAAGAAATCCACCGATAATGACTTCCATGCTTGAGGAAAGCCGACTTGGCGGTTTTCTATACTTGAAGAAAAATCCACCAATAATGTCTTCCATGCTTGAGGAAAACCGACAACTGATATAGTTGCTGAAATTTGTAAGTTCTTGATAGTTCGATTATCCCCGAACGTGGGTCACAGATGATTTACCTTCAAGTCGACTATCCGACTATATTAGGCGTTTAAAACGTCGGCAGACATTGACGCTTACTGGGGGCAAAATAGTAATTTTGATATCCTTTAAACGTCAGTTAAAATTTTCCGCGTAATTTACAGAAAAACTAACTATCCAATTTGTACGGAAAATTGCGCAATTGTAGTCAAAATGCCATGAATATTCGCTGAAAGCTTCAAGGAATGTGCAGGACACGCACGAGACCACCGTGTCACGAAGAAGAAATCCCACGACACGGCAGGTAATCCCGTGACGCGGCATAATATCCCGTGGTGCGGGATTTTTGTGGTTGCAGAAATGGTCAAAAGCTCGATTTTCGCGCTTTTGACCAGCTAAAATTCAGTGGGCCACACGGGGATCTCCCGCGACACGGAGAATGCATCCCGTCAGACAGTGAGATTCCCGTGTCGCGGGAATTCGCCCTTGTTCTGAATTCGCCACGCGCGTGAAGTCCGTAACGGTCACGTTTTTATTTTCCTTTAAATTCGAGCTGCTCTTCACCATTTTTACCTTTTTCTTGCTACTTCTGCTCTTCCTCTTCTCCATTTTTTTTATTTTAAGCTGCTCAAATCACCGAGCCAAGGCGAGGATACACCGGCGCACGGCTGTGGTTCCCGTCACGCGGAGTTTCATCCTGTGACACGACGGTTCTGCTGGGGTTTTTGTTTGCTTTTTTTATTATTATTATTATTATTTCCACTATTGCTCGTTGTTGTTGCTGTTCAGAGCTCGTCGCTGCTGACCGAAGCTCCGTCGACTCCTAGAATCACCGTGACACAGAACCTGATCACCGTGTCGCGGCTTAGGCTGACCATGTTGCGGCGGCCTACTCTGCTGTCTTCACGG